GTAGGAGCTGTATGTTATTTCAATAAGATCGTGGGATGAAAGGAAGGTAATAAGCAATAATTCAAAATTATATCTAAACGCGTGTGAGGGAGGTTAGTTGAATATATGGATTAAAATATTTTAGATACTAAACATCAGACTTGTATGCTGTAAAAGAGGAAAATGTTCAGCCTATCCTCTTCTTTGTAATGAGCTATTATTCAAAATTGTATCTTAACCTAACACCGTGTCAGTGAGTAGGAGAGTGAAAAAGATATTGTTCAAAACCAAATGATAACGAAGTTATGCTAATATATAGTACAAATACTGACATTATCAGAACATTGAAATTTTATTTTGACAATCATTATTAATACTTAAAAAATAAAAAGTGAAATAATATAAATGATAATAATAGCAGAAATTCTTAGGCATAATGGAAAATATATAATAATATAACATTACATAACCTTCCAACTGGAGATTTCCTTATGAAATTGTACAATTGTTGGATAAAACATAAACTAGTAATTTAAATAAGTAAATTATAAATCATTAAGGACATTTTTAGATTGGCCTTGCTTTGAGGTCTATATTTTATGCAATAGAACTTTGTTATTAACTTCAAAAATTTCTTATTAAACGAAATTAAACCAATTAACCCTAACTATAATAGATGGATTAGTAAAGTTTCATAAAAGTGGTGCTCCACTTCGTCCTATCATCAGTAATATCAATGGGGAAACTGAAAAATTTGGCTAAATATCTCAATTCCACACTCAATAACCTAAAATCAAATAGTAACAATGGTGCAAAAAACTTATTGGAGGTGGGGCCAATGCTTGAAAGAATAAATAAAATAGACAATAGGTAAATATTGCTCGGTCTGATTTGATACAAAAAAATTATTTACAATATCAACTGAAAATATGTAATAAAAATAATTGAAAAGTACTGGGATACAATAGAACCGCATACCCATATTAAAGAGTTTTATAGAAGATATGGATTAAAATATCTCAGAAACTAAAAATCAGACCCACATACTGTAAGCGAGGGAAATGTTCAGCATTTCATCCTCTTTATAATGAACTATTATTTATAATTAATATTTTTTGCTGTTTTCACTTCTATCTTGTGGTCTAAAGCACACAGCTTTGTTGTTTTGTTTTTTCTTTTTTTCTTCAGAAAAAGACGAATGAGGCAGACCGTAACGTCAGCACCATTTAGCAGTTCCCTTTTTTTTTTTTTTTGTCTGTTAATTTATTCTATTATTCATTTCACTAGATATGACTGAGTTTTTATGTTTTTAATTTACTTATCTTTAGGTTATTTTATGTTTTTATTGTACGCTGTTGTTTGATTATTATTTAGTTTTTATTTTATTTTTGTTAAGTTTATATTTTCTGTATATATGGTGTGAATGTGTTCATATCTCACAATATTTTGGCCATGTAACAGATCATTATATTTCTAAATAAATAAACCAATATTTCACTAACCATTCTGTGCCCAGGAGAGACTTCAACTCCACCTCTCGATAAAGCGAGAGGCTACAATAACAGTGTGTGGTCTCTTCAACCTGGACTATACCTTGCTGCACATGGTAACTTTAACATTATTCTATTCTAATTATTCGAAAAAAAATTATAATATCTAATTGTAATAAATAATAATAGTAAATGGTACAGACTATTTTCTAGCAAATTATTAACATCCGGCTGAAACTCCGTATATAGTTTCTCCTCTCATTGTAAACTACAAGTATATTACTTACGATAATTCTCGGAAATGGGCTTTTTAAATCTGCAGATCGAGAAACTTTAACTTTGTTTATTTAATTAGGGACTAAAAACTCGAATATTCCCATTGCTTTCCACTTAAATCGTAAGATAAATTCCACAAAAAATTGGGAAAAATGCTGGCCTTCAAAAATATTGAGTCGTTTGGCGTGACCTACACCACCAAATTGCTTAAATAACGAGGTTATATATCGCCAAACGGACCAATATTTTTGTAGGCCACCATTTTTATCGATTGTGTTATCAATTCATCTTACGAACCAAGATGGAAGCATGGGTATTTACCAGGTTTTAGTACCTAATTAAATAGACAAAGTTTGCCGAGCTCCTCATTGAAAATCTCCCTATTTCGAGAATTAATGGTAAATAAGATATTTGTAGGTTACGATGAGATGAAGCTATTTACGAAGTTTCAGCTGTTTAATGTCCCCAAAGTTAATTGTTTTTATTTATTTTATTATTATTAATTCTTTTCATAGTCTGTATTTTTAGGGCAACTCCAGCCAGACGGCTCGATAACATCGCCAAAAAAAAAGTTTTGTTTAAAAAAAAAAAAAGTAAAATTTATATGAAATAAAGCTTTTTATCTATCTTTCTATTTCTTTCTCTCTCTCTCTCTCTCTCTCTCTCTCTATATATATATATATATATATATATATATATATATATATATATATATATAATAATAATAATAATAATAATCTGTATTTTATATTACTCATTTAATAGATATATTTTCATGCATTGCTTTGTCCTTAGATGGTAGCAGCAGTCTCAACTTACTTCGTAGTGATGTTACAGTTCGCTTAATGCACAAAATACAAAGTTTATTTCAACAGTTTTAAAAATAAATAAATCCTATCATACGCACGATATTTTATAGAACAATGTATCATTGAGGTTTTATTATTGTATTGTATTTTATTAATATTTTGTTTAAAATGTTTGTAACAATTAAAAATGTAAACATTATTTATTTTTGTTCGATCCGATATCCCTTCATATATAGTCAATTATTAAACACTTATTGATTTTAGTCATTGTCAAATATAATCGATTGGTAAATCTTCAAGACTACCATTGTCGATACACGACCCAGCCAGAACAGTTAACAGACTTGGGTCATTCATATATTATTTGACCATAGTTTTTTTAAAGAAACTGTATTTGATCAAAAAATACAGAATTATATCAATTAATTATGAATTACGGTTAGCAATATAATGTTTAGAACAAGTAGAGTTTTCTATAGTTGCCTTTTGGTTTACCATTTTCAATAATGAACTATTGTAATCGACGTAAAAATTCAAAAACTTAAACCCTTCCCCTAAAAATTTGAGGTTTTACGTTTCAGGATACGTAGAATTCGAAAACCCAATCATAATTTTTTTGTTCGTCCGCCGTATTTATTTATATTTATATTTTCTCCGTAACTACTAGACCGACTTTTCGAATTCGGATTTAAAGCAGAGGTCACCCGAGGATCATCCTACATCGAAATTACGATTTACGAGGGTAGGTAAAATTAGATTTCCTAATAACTCAAAAAGTATTCACTTTTTGATTTGATGTATTGATTTTTTAATATTCACTATGGATACTATATGGGCATTTTAATGCTTAACAAATTCCCTAAAAAAAAAAAGTCGTGCAATTTGGAACAAAAATATGGTTTATATGTTCGACTGCAAAGGTTATTTCCATTGATTTTTTTTTCTTTGTTTTTAATGCATTTCAAGTTTTCATCAAATATTGTCGATTTTTTCTCATGGGCAATCGGGTTATTTGCGGTACTATAATAAACTAGTGGTCATTTTTCATCAATATCTTTCGAATCAATCTACACAGATGCTTCACCGTCAGAATACTTCAATACTATCATAATAAATCCTTAAATGTTTACCCATTTTTTATCGAATAATTGAGAAGTGAGTTAAAATTGAATTACTCGATTTCGCTGTTCAATAGCAGCGAAAAGTGTCAAAGAATACAAATAAAGTAATTTACAAAAATACTTTCTTACCGATTCTCACCTGTTCAAGTGAATCTTGGACTATCACCACAAAATACAAGAGGCAAGTTCAAGCTATGGAGATACGGTACTTAAGAAGTATGGAGGGAAAGACAAGAAGAGGCCGAGTCCGAAATTAGACAATGAGATCAAACCTGGAACTAAGGCCAGCTGATGATATCATCAAGGAACAACAGCTGAGATGGTTCGGCCATGTTGTTAGAATGGAACAGGACAGGTTGGCGAAAGTAGTGTATGAAACAAAGGTGGAAGGGCAGAGACCAAGAGGAAGACCGGGGAAGGCACAATCTGGGATGGCTTAGAAGAAGAGGAATGGAAAGACGGATAGTCGAATATAGAGATTCTTGGATCAAGATCTACCGAAGGGATCCTCACACTGCTGTGCGGTAAAAGAGGAGGTTATTAAATAAATTAATAGAAACCGAACGGAATAAAAACGACTGAAAATAACATTCTAAATCCAACATTAACTTTATAAAATGAAATAGAATGGCATGAGATCTGATTAGAGATTTGTGCTATTGGATGAGTCTTTGTTATTTGCTAATGGCTATCGACCATTTGTGGCGTTGTGTCCAGCTCAAAATTATTTCAGTAGCGGCTGTGAATAAACCCAGCAACAGCTGTTATATTAACAAGAAATATCAACCATGGTTTCTAATAAAACTATTTCCGAGGAAGGCAATACATCCATTCTGTCTAATCACAAATATTTTCGTAATATTTATTATCTTTCTGCAGCAATCGGAATCTTTCCTTTCGTTTTGCAAAGAAGTCGTACCTTATCTTCGCACATCCTTGTCCTTATATCAATAATGGTTACAATTTGCGTCGGGTATTGTTCTATTTATATTAACTATCGTTTTTTTTCTAACTTGTCCAAGTTGGAAAACAGTCACACGAGAATGGAAATAGTTTTGCATGCATGTCTCTTGACGATTCATACCATGCTCTACTTTGTATCTGCAGGCACTTCGATATGTAGAGTTCGTGCTATCCGTGAGATCGTCCAAATCCTCGAAGAGGTGGATGTTTTTTTAAACAGTCGATCGAGAAAAGAGTACGATTTCCAAGACTTTCTATGTTTTTTCTTTAATAGTCTCCTTGTTTTATGGCTAGTATATATCGGAAAAGATTTTACATCTATATTTTCTTATGTTGTTATGACAGCGAATACTTTTTTGGCAATGTCGCAATTCTCCGTTTTAACTTCGTTGATATCCAACCGTTTAGAAGAAGCCTGCGAATCCCTGAACGATCTAAGAAGAAGTGTCATACCGTCCTATCAACAGAAGGTGACCGCTCTCTCGGATGTCCACGGCAGGCTGTGCGATGCCAGCGAACTATTGCAATCATTCGGGTTCCTCCTCACTGCCATTCTCATCCTCAGCTTCCTCGGTCTCACCGCAATCGCTTTCTTCTTCTACAACCATCAAGTTCTGTCGAAAATGCTTGATTTTAGCTACATGTTATCCAGAGATCCGAAGAACAATTCACCGATGAGTAAAGTATTATGGTTCATATATATGGTGACAATAGCTTGGAGAATCGCAGCTTCATCATCAAGACTTACCGAAAAGGTATTCTTATTTTCTCAAATAATTATAAATTAGTAGGCCCGTGCGAAAAATTCGCACAGCACCAAATGCCAAATTAAGAATAAAATAAAATAATGCAACGTATCAAAAGATAAATAAATCAAATGTTACTTTATCGATAAATATAATCGATAAACAAAACAAAAATTAATTTAAATCTTCATTTTTGTTTAGAACCAACACGTTTACAAATTTCAGTAAGCTGTATCTTTGCTAAAAATAGTCCGATTTCGATGATTTTTTTTTTTTTTGTAGGGAATTCAGTAATCTTTTCTACGATCATGGGCATAACACAGGGAAAAGTGTGTAATTTTTTAGTTATGCGCAAATGAAGTTTGTTTTCTTTTATAACTTGTTGGCCTGAATTTTCGTGGTGATTGGATTATTTTATCCGCCTGAAGGAGAAGGAAACCTTCGAAATTGGTGGCTCAATCTTGAGATTTGGTGAAGAATTGACGATGATATGGTTTGCCGATCAACAACACCATCGATAAATAATATAAACTCCTCCTCTCTCGATCATAGAGACCTCAAGTCGACGAAATGAGACATGTATTTAATACAGTACTACAATTAATGTAAGGCTGTGTGGATGTGAACCCTATGCCTTGCGTTATTTCGAAAATAGTACGTTTTGGGGCTTAAAAACGCAGGGTCCAATAGTTTCGGAGGAGGTCTTGCTGTACGCATCAAAATCTTAAAGGTCCAATTTGCCCCGTATCAATTTACAGACCTACCACCGTTACAGTATTGAAGCCTAGCAAAATGTTTGTATCGACTTTATTTATTATAGAAAGAAAAACAAAAGTGGAGAATACGATTCGCTAATCCCCCGTGAAATTTTGAATCCAACGGTATCCCATTGGTATTTGAGCATCACAGAAGCTTATATTTGGTACGAAACCGATTTCGAGCCTTACTGTAATAATATATGTGGGGATTATATTTATTTTATACAATAACAAGGGGAATTTTAAAGCCTATGTCTAGTGGCATCTCTTTCTATAGTCCATTGAAACCAGAACGGATGTAATAGTATCCGGATAAGTATAGTTGTATTTATTATCCACTTAAAACTTTTTTAGGGGGAGGGTGGGGAATATCTGGGTAAAAAGCCCTTATTCAGAGCATCGCGCGTTTCGTCCGACTTTTGCCGGAATCCCATTTGCCACTCCTAGTTTTGGCTCTAGACACACATAGGTCTGTCCACCCCGACTTGAACATTTGGTTATAATTAGAATAACTCTTCCATATGCCAAAATGGCGTGGCAAATGATGAAAAATCATTTAAAGCTTTAAACTAAATTCCGTTAATTTCGGTTTCAGACGAAGGAGTTCAACCATCTTCTCTATAAGCTGATCATCACTGATAAAAGGTCTGAACTTATGTGGAACGTAAGTAATAATTAATATTTTTCATTTAATTATTATCACACGTCTGATTGCTATAAACTCATGGATTTTGAAGCTTGACTCCGTACTCCCCACAAAAGAACAAAATGTGCAAAACGCGCCTAAAGAATTTTAATTTTCAAAAAAATGGTTGTTTTTGGGTATGTAGATAGATAGATAGATAGAGAGCAAAAATCTTTATTCTGGGACACAGTCCCTTGAGAATAACAAAATTAAAAGACTACATCTGGCCAAAATAAAATCAATCGAAAAAACGAAATAATGTAAAGAAAATGTATATACAATGTATATACAAAACAAACGAAACTATATACAAAACAATTAATACTATGACAAGACACTTAAAGTTATTATTTATTTGCACTGATAGACCAGTATACACTTTTAAAAAAATAATAAATATCAAATTCTCTATTAAAATCAGCTTTGTGTTTCTGTTGAGAAAACAGAAAGTTGAATCTGACAATATAACGTGCCTGATTAATATATAAATACATTACCATTTAGCATTGATATTTGACAAGGAATGGCATGAGATAAATGTAGGTTGTCGAATGGTTAGCAACTATCTGACTGTTTTTGGGATATGAATTTGAATGTGGATATGGATGGGGAATGTCGAATTTTGATAGGGAGGGAGTTCCAGAAATTGACAAAGCGAACAATAAAGGAGTTTTGGAATGAGGCAGATCTGTGAGAAGTCATGTAAAGGTTAGAAGGTCGAGATCTTGTGGGCAGAGAATGGACTGAGGATTTGAACTGGAGAAGGTTGTAGGCGTAAGAAGGATTGTTGATGATTTGGTAGAGGAACGTACCTAGGAAATATTTTCTTCGGAATATTGTAAAGGAAAAGCCACTTTAACTCAGCGTAGTGGTGAGAAACATGGGAGTATCTTGGGCCCCGATCACAAATCTTACGCAGTTGTTCATTAGTCTTTTCAGTCTATGTATTTATGTATTTTAATACTTTATGTATTTTAATTTTTAAAATAAAATAAAAAATCACTCTGTTGGAATGGACCTAGGATACTACCTTGAGGAACAGAACAGCTGACGTTACATCATCATTACCACATAGCCTGATAACACTTTATGACACGCACTTGCATTTTCAGTTTATAAAATTTCAATTTTTCAATTCAATTTTTTCAAATTTCAATAATAATATTGTTTTTTACATAAATGAGAATATTTGTATTACTATATTTTACAGGAGAAGTTATTGCTACACCTCTCGATGAACAGGGAAGTGACTCTGACTGCTTGTGGCCTCTTCAATCTGGATTTCACTTTGGTTCATTCGGTAAAACTTTTATTGAACATCCAGCTCTGATTTAAAAGGCTCCATACAAATATAATAGTTTAAATTAATCATAAGCTCTTTTTTTATTATTATTATTATTTCTTAATAATATTTACAACTGTATTAAAGACATACATTTAGTAAACTTGAATATATGGATATAATGACATGAAAACACTTGTTGAGTAACTACCCAATGGTACTCTAATGATATGTCTACATTAGGAGATCACGGGGCCATCTTCTTTTCAGACGCCTCGTAGGGTTATCAGGAATTAAAGAGGAATCAAAGTTAGAAACGAGAGGGTAGGGATGATTCTGAAGTTTATTATGGAAGGATAGGTATCTGGATAGGGTCAGATCTGAAACATAAGAAACATTAAGGTCGTTTTATGGATGGTTTTATTTGTAAGAAAGTAGAGAGCATTGAGGATTTTACAAAGGATTTTGGATTGTAAGGATTGTATACGAGAGGAATTTGATGATTTGATGGAGCCCCATAGTTCAACTTCGTAAGTCCAAATAGGCCTTATTATAGTCATATATATGAGTCTTTTGTAATTAATTAGAAGTTTAGAGCGTTTGTCTAGTGAAGTGTTGAAGTAATCGTCGTCAGTCTGGTATGAGAATCATAAGCTCAAATAAGTATGATAATAAATAAAAAATAAAAGGAAATTGTCAACAGCGTTAAATTGTGTATGAAACAGGAGATCGGTAAACATTATTTATTCGATGAGGTACTGAAAATTCATGAAAACTCATATGGTTTCCATCTGAACTGTACGACAATTTCGTAACAAAATCTAGAGAAAAGTGGCCTAATAAAATATTAAGGCATTTCGTGTAACCTCCGTCCACAACATTTTAAAAAACGAAGTTATGTAGACCTAATTTATACATTTATGCATATATTGTAATATATTTTTCTCTTTACTATCTGCCTAACTTTCAGACATCTTTATTGCTCAATTAACAAAATCAATTTATCCTTAAAGAAGAAATTGATATGAATAAGCTGAGACATGATAAGACTGCCAGAAAAGATAGGGGGACAACATTTAACCCTTATAACATGAAAGATCAGCAACCTGTTGACGTAATCCAAACTTTGCAAGGATACGTGACAAACTTCCAGGGGCAACCTGGAAATTTTAAGGGGGAAAAGAGGGTGTACAGAAGTGGTTTTCTTGAAACAATCAAGTACGAAACGAGAAACGGAAGGAGAGGGGGCATTATGTATAGAGTGGCTTACATCTTGATAATGATAGAATTCATTGAATAAATAAATAGATCGGTTTATATTACATCAATAACAATAATTTCTACAGGGAGGCGAATCTAGGGGAGGAGGGAGAGCCTATCGGACTGAAGCCTCCCCAAAATGGTAGAATATAACCATGTCTTATGATAAAATATTAAAAAATTATCTCGTATTATTACTCATGTAATTATATTTGATAGGACTTCAAAAATCATTAATACGCCATTTCATATAGTTTCTTTTTTTTTCCCAAGTATCTATCGTTATATTTATATGGAAAAAGTTTTCAGGCTGAAGCCCTCTCCCCCCCCCAAAAAAAAACAACTAAATCCTGTATCCGTAAGTGGCTTCTGGTGTAGAAAATCTTCACTTTATAGTGAAAATATTCGCATGGTACAATGAATAAACATGTTCATATAGACATTTTGAGAAGAAATTTTGTTAAATCTGATGCTAAAAAACAAATTTTGTTTTTATCATGATAATGACCCCAAACATTCTGACATGTCAGTTAAGAAATGCCTACTTTATAACTGTACCAAATTTATAAAAACACCACAATAATCAACAGTTATTAATATGATAGAACACCTGTGGGCGAAATTGGAGGTAGAAATTTTAAAACACTAATTTTCTAGCAAAGAAAACTTTAAAAAAAAATCTCTGAATAAGCCCAGAAACACCAAAAAATGTTGGCTTGCCAAAAAGATGTTGAACTAAATTAATAGTATTTAAAAGTTAATAAGAAGTGAAGTCATTTTGACTGTGAGATAAAATTATCCAGTTTTTTTTTTTTTTAACAATCACATTGGAATATTTTAATTTAATTGAGTTTGTACATATTTAAACTTAGATTATAAATAAATCTGTTGAAAGTTTCTTGTTTTATTTATTTACTGTAAATAACGTTTAAGTCATTTTTCTTTTATTCTACGGAGGGTATCAATTTCACTGTGAGCCACTGTATATTTGCTTCGATATTCATGAGTTTTTTTTTTTTACTTCGTTCGTCAAAACTGCGTTACAAGATATAAAAAAAGATAAAAGTTCTATACACTATAATTTATCACTAATCTTTAAAATCTTTCACAATATTATTTATTGCATTATTTAGTGCAAAATATTAATTGAATTCTTATTTTTCGATTATTCCTCAGATGGTGGCAGCAACTTCAACTTACCTGGTCATGTTGATTCAGTTTGGCCAACAAGAATAGTGCGGCCAAGACTAACCAAGTATTCTTGACTCTGAAGTGAGAATATTGATCAGATTGTGATTATTATATTAAAAAAATAAAGTTTAATTTTCCTAAATTCTAAAGTTTTCAATTAATTATTTCACTTATTAGCTGTGAAAGCCTTAATTCTTATTCTGGCTGAAACTTCTATCTTATCATCAGAGGCTTTTTGTGATAGTCCAACACGATATGTAGCAGTGTGAGTTAATATCAAGGACCGCGGAATAATTTTATACCGATTGATAAATATATTGTAATTTTATAATAATAGATTCAATCCTCGTACTAGAATTAAAATGCAGGAACTTGATAAAATTTAAACGGCCAACTATACAGACTACTAAAAAGAAAATCTAAACTTTCTTTTGAAAACAAGTTACTGAACTACTAGATAATACTGAAACCTATTTGGACTTACGGACTAGAACTGTGGGGATCAGCAAAATTTTCTAAAATAAAACTTATCCAATCCTTCCATTCAAAAATCCTTCGAACAATAGTCGATGATCCCTTCCATGTAACCAATAAAACCCTACATCATGAACTCAACATCCCATTTGTCCTAGACCTTATCGCAGGAGAATTCTCCATATTCTCAAGCACCACTCATCCCTTTTGTCCTCCAAGAAGGTTAAAACGGCAGTGGCCCCGCAACCTTTTATAGATTGTAATTTTTTTTTCTTGAAAACAGTGAATTACGAGGACGGATATCACGGAAACTATAAAACAAAGCAAAAAACTAATATAATCATTTCTATTAACAATTTTATCAGCTTTAATTTCATATACATATTATTATAGATAGAAAGAATAGTTTCACTGATGAAAGCGAAAAACCGAAAAAAGTAAATTTTGTGAATCTTAAATTTATTATTTCGACTTGAAATCCACGCTTATGGGGTAAGTGACTATTTTATGTCTTAAGTAATGTACCCTAGATAGGTAACCCAGGTGGTACCCTAGGTAGGTACTCTAGGTGGTATCCTAGGACATCAGTTAAAACTGAGCTGAGAAACATTGTTGGAGTTTTCTTATAATCTAAGTAACTAAATAAAAACCATTCAATGGAATCAATGTTATCTGCATAAGAATCGAAAGAAATTGGTATATATATATATATATATATATATATATATATATATATATATATATATATATATACATATATATATATATATATATATATATATATATATATATATATAGATGGCGACTGTATATAGATAGATAGACAGATAGAAAATAACTTTGTTCTGGGACACAGTCCCTCGAGAATAACAAAATTAAAAGATTACATCTGGCCAAAATAATCGAAAAAAAGAAATATTGTAAAGAAAATTTAAGCTAAACATTCTATATACAAAACAAACGAAACTATATACAAAACAATTAACACTATGACAAGACACTTAAAGCTATTTGCACTGATATACAAGATATATTTTAAGAAAACAATAAAGAATTAAAAAATAAAAATATATTAAATTCTCTATTGAAATCAGCTTTGTGTTTCTGTTGAGAAAACAGAATGCTGAATCTGACAATATAAAGTGCCTGATTAATATATAAATACATTATCATTTAGCATTGATATTTGACAATGAATGGCATGAAATAATTGTATGTTGTCGAATGGTTAGCAACTATCTGTTTTTGGGACAGGAATTGGAATAGGAGGGTTTTGAATTTGGATATGGATGGGGAAAAGTCGAATTTTGATAGGAAGGGAATTGTAGAAATTGACTCAGCCAGCGATAAAGGAGTTTTGGAATGAGGCAGATCTGTGAGAAGACATGCAAAGGTTAGAAGGTCGAGATCATGTGAGCAGGGAATGGAATGAGGATCTGAACTGGAGAAGGTTGTACGCGTAAGAAGGACGATGGCTGTTGATGATTTGGTAGAGGAACGTACCTAGGAAATATTGTCTTCGGAAGGAGAGGAAAAGCCACTTTAACTCAGCGTAGTGGTGAGAAACATGGGAGTATCTTGGGGCCCCGATCACAAATCTTACACAGCTGTTCATTGGTCTTTTCAGTCGATGTATTTTAATACTTTATGTATTTTAATTTTTAAAATTGAAAAAATGAGGCGGACCAGTGAGAAGGCATGTAAAGGTTAGAAGGTGTAGAAAGAGATGAAAACCATAATCGCTATTTCATAGATTGCATCAGCTGAAACGTTTTATGATACTACAAATGGAAATGAAGCCCCTGATAGACACAAGCAATTTGAAATAATGTGAATTAGATAGATCTTTCTTGATATTGTCTTTCGAATATTCGCGGAATATTCAGTTTAGCAAGAGATGTGACCCTATCAACAGGTAACTTTTTTTTTTTAAGAAAATGGCGTTCGGCCCAGACCGATCAAGAATAATTCAGCACTCAGAAATACTTTCAACCCACAAATATTTCAGTTTTATATATTCCCTCTCTGCAGTCTTCGGAGTGTTTCCTTTCATGATGCAAAGAGGTCGTTACAGGACATCATATTTCTTCAGTGTTCTATCCGTAATAACCAGCCTCTTCGTCGGATTTTTTTCAATTATTATCGATTATTTCGTTATTTTCGAGATGCCGAAGAGCGGAAACTTTGTAGAGGGAGCGAAACTAGTTCTACTCTTATGCTTCACGGTTAGCTTGTCCACCATGCACATCACAACAGCGAGCACATCGATCTGGAGAGTCCGGACTGTTCGTCAGATCATCGGTATCCTAGAAGAAGTAGACGCCATTCAAAGCATCCGCTTGAAGATGGATTTCGGTCTATCGGATCTCACGGCCATTTCTTTAAACTTGTTTACCGTTCTTTGGATCTCCTTTCGGACTCGACATATTTATTGTATAATGTATACCTTGATCCTTGTAACAAACGTTTTGTTGGTAATGTCACAGTTTTCAGTTTTGGCCTCTCTCGTAAACAGCAGGTTAGAAGGAGCTTGCGAGTCCTTGCGTGAACTTAAGATGAGATCCGATTCGCCTTACAAAGATCAGAAGGTCGCCATACTCTCCGATGTCCACAACAAGCTCTGCGACGCCAGCGAGATCCTCCATACTGCCTTCGCTTGCTTGCTCACTGTAATGATTGCTATCTGCTTTGTAGGAATCATCGTATTAACTTTCAATATTTATGGAGAGCAAAATAGAAGCAAAAAGTTTGACATTCGCCTTCTGATATTACAAGATGAGAAATTATTGTGCATTCTGTACTTTTGTATCATCATCTGGAAAATTTCTGCCTCTTCATCGGAGCTTACCCAAAAGGTTATCAAATTATTTAAACTATATATAAAAGCAAAATAAATACGTTGATATACCTTTGTGTTACTCGTGGATTTGAATACGATTAAATTTCTTTGTTAGAAAAATATAGATATAAAAATATTTTCAAAAATTTCAATTTTTATTTATATATCTATATTGAAATTATGCTATCAAAAAATGTATTTGAAAGCCTATTAGGGTAGTAAAAAATCAACAAACAATATCTCAAAAACTATCCACGTCATCAAAAACTTTGACCAGACTATTTGGCTCAAAAAGTAGAGCTTCAAATTCAGTAGCAAATGGGTGCCCACATTTATTAATTATTGATTATTATTAGCTTTCAACACTTTATTAAAAGATTTAATGTAGCGGTTCATGACCGAACGTACAATTTATCTTGCTTTAAATTATCATTTACTTATCGTTTATATATATATTATCATGATTTGTCAAATTAAATGGTAAAATGACTTAAGTTGAGAGCTTATTGATATGTTTTTAATTACTTCGAGTCCTTATTTTTGATATATTGAAAAGAATAAATGGTGCAAATTATTTCAAAATGGTTTATTATTTCCGAACAATAATACATCTAAAGTAACATTATCTTCCGAGTTAAAGAGAAAAATAAACAAAAGGTGAATCCAATTATTGGACTAAACTATTGTTTTTAATCATTTGTATCATGCTAAAAAAAAAAACAGCATTACTTCAGTAACACATTCAAAATTTAAAAACCAAACCAAGGATATAACATTTGGAGTAGAAAATATTTTAAAAAACCGGAGACCATATTTTTGCTTCTAATTGTCCGGTTTTAACGATTTTTTTTTTTGTTTTTAGGAAATTTCGTAAACTTTCTAAAAACATATACAATATCAACAAAAAAGTGTATATTGTTTGAGTTATATGGAATTTAATTTTACTACTAATTTTAACTTTTTTTTTCCAGCTTCTTTTCGTTGAAGTATGTTATATAGATAAATTTCAAGGGCGTCGAGAAAATGACTTTAGCGAAGTTTTATTGAAATCGGTATATTCGTTTAGGAGCTACAGTCTATAGCAACGCTGGTTTTTCGGTCGCCATTTTGAAAGTAAAAGGCGGATATCAAAATTTGAAAGAAAAAAAGAATCAGTCCATTAGTTTTGGAGAAAATGCGCGGACGGACAAAAAACTTTTTATTCGTTTTTCGAATTCTACGCATCCTGAAACGTGAAACCTCAAATTTTGAGAGGGGGTTAAGTTTTTGAATTTTTTGGTCGATCACAATAGTTGATTATTGAAAATAATAAACCAAAAATCTGGTGTGTCCACTCACACAACTTTTCTACCGATTTCAGAAAAGTTTTTATTTCTTAAAATATGTCGATTAAAAATTAAACTAGATTTATTTTCCTGAAAATTGGTTAAAGAAAATGATTTGACTACGACTTCTTTGATAAATTAAAGCAATGTAAACCGGATTGTAGAAGATCAGAAAAAAAAATTCATTGCACTCTAATATCGCCAATGAATTTTTTTTTTTCGCTTCTTCACTACCGAAGGTAGAGAAGCATTGTATTCGTGCAAGAGATTAAAAAAAAAATTATATGCTCAGAATTGAAAATTTCCACTCGCGTTTTACGTTTCAGATATCAAGGATCAAATTTGGTTCGGTGTCTGTCTGTCTGTAGTCAAATCGATGTGACGGGGATACCGCCTAGTACTGTTAGTCCAATTTTCATCGAATTTTAAGTGTTTGTGTGGGTAGGTATCTAGATGGTCCTACATCAATTTTATCAAAGTCCATTCAGCCCTTCCGTATGAACAAGCGCAAACTTATTTTTTTTACATATACCAAAATATCAGAAACAGCTCGTTGAATTTGACTCAAAGTTGGATAAAAGGTAGAATTGGGTGGAAAAAAACGTAGTATCTATTTTATTGAATTCCGTCCACTATTTGGTCTTATATGTGCGCAAATGTATTTTCATTGACACGTCTATATATCTCTAAAACAGCCTAATATGGATGACTAATCATATAACAGAGCAGCATTAATTCAGCAGCGATCTTAATAGTGTTTAATATAGTAAAACTGAGCAAGAAATTTTCATTAAGGTAAATTTTGTCATGAAATAACTAAGATATTTTAGTCAAACCTGTGCTCCAGCAAATTTTATTTTGATTTATATTTAAGATAATTTAAGTTTTTAAGAATAAGTTAAAACGTTACATATGTTCATCTTAATGATATAAAATCATTATTATTCATGTGTATTTAAGGGACAGAATAAATATTTACTTTTTCTGAGCAAGTATATTTTGGTTTTAGTATTTTTGGTGTTGAAATGCTAACTCCAATTTGTGAACTAACCTGCTACCACTAACTAAATTAACGAAGGTGCAAACATGGTGATCGACAGTCAGGGAAGTTAGGGTTTGGTAAACAGATAATCAAGAATGTATCGAATTCCGTCAACTGCTTAAAAACATACTTCAGATTTCAGGAGATTTATTATTTGACAAGCTAATAGTTTGAAAAATGCGATTTGACGCTAACTTGGAGAAAAGTTTAAAAATCACCTGGTATCAATTTCATTAAATTCCATTTTTTAATTCAAATTAATATAAATAATTGTTAATACTATAATTTCTGTGAAATGTGAAAGGTTTTATGAAAGATATGGATTAAAGTATTTCAGAAACTAAATATTGGACCTGCATACTGTAAACGAGGGGAATTTTCAGCATTTCATTATTTTTATAATGAATAATAAATTATTTATCCTTTATATTCCATATTATTCATCTCATCTTGTTGATATTATCACTTCTATCGTGTGCTCTAAAGCACACACTTTAATTTTTTTTTTGTAGGTTATTTAATTACCTTTCAGAAGTCTGTGTATAAATTTTACCGTAGATATATACATAGCGAGTTAGGCCCCAAAACATTTTTCTTTTCTTTACAACTTGTTTTCCGGAATTTTTTTCGATAGTTTAGTACTTTATATGCTGATTTAAGAAGTTTTCCTCCCTGTAATTTCAGTGATTCAGAATATCACCTTTCATAGGCCTATGACTGATCAATACTAAGTTAAAAGAACACATCTCTCCCGGTTTCCGTCCTGCTGCATCTATTCCAGGTTCAGTTCAAAAGTACTTGATTTTTTTTTTTTCTAAGTTACTAATAATTTCTAATTCTTTTTCAGCTTCGGTCAACTTAAGAAACTCACTTTTGAGCGACTTGAAGTATCTCACAAGGGTAGTATCTATAGTTTTTTTTTATTTTTTTATTTCTTTATTGAGTATTATAACAATCTGTCTCTTGGACATTGGTCCAATTTGCTGTATATAATACATTTATATTTTTTTATATTAATACATTCTGCTACATTGAAGGGCATTAATATTAAGGCTGCATTAATCATTCACACACTATGTACATACAAATAATAACTAAGATAGACATAATAAAGAAAACGAAATATATAAAAATAAAATGAGTAAATTAATATACCTGTGTACAAAAAAGAAATGAAATAATAGATTGAAGCTAAATGAAATTAAAGTAAATAAAACACTTTCACACCTATATACAATATTTACATTCGTCCGGGGGACTCTGATTCATGCTTTTTTTCCCCAAATGTGGAAGCCAAGGCAGGTCTCAAGGAGATCCCAGTGCTTTTCTCCCAGCCGCGTCATTGGTATTGGAAACCAGTAGAAACTGATGGAGGGCACTACACCAATATACGCTCAGGACCTGAGTGGAAAACTGGCCATTGACAGAACTCCAATATATCCGTATCCGTTCATATATTATTACAGTAAGGCTCGAAATCAGTTTTGTACCAAATATAAGCTCCTGTCATGCTCAAATACCATGAATGGGGTACCGTTGGATTCAGAATTTCACAGGAGGTTAGCGAATCGTATTCTCCACTTTTGTTTTTCTTTCTAAAATAAATAAAATCGACAAAATCATTTTGCTAGGCTTCAATACCTGAACAGTGGTAGGTCTGTAGATCGATGCGGGACAAATTGGACTTTGAAGATTTTGATGCGTACAGCAAGACCTGGATAGTTTCCCCGGAACTATCGGATCTTGTGTTTTTAATCCGAAAAACGTACTATTTTCGAGATAACGCAAGGCATAGGGTTCGCATCCACACAACCTTACATTAATTGTAGTACTGTCATTGAATACATGTCTCATTTCGTCGACTTGAGGTCTCTATTATCGAGAGAGAAGGAGTTTATATTATTCATCAATGGTGGTTTTGATCGGCAAGCCATATCATCGTCAATTTTTCACCAAATCTCAAGATTGAGCCACCAATTTCGAAGGCTTCCTTCTCCTTCAGGCGGACGAAATAGTCCAATCACACCGAAAATTCAGGCAACCAATTATGAAAGAAAATAAACTTTATTTGCGAATAACTAAATAATTACATACTTTTCCCTTGGTTATTCCTTGGAAAAAACTTCTCCAAATTTACAAAATAGAATAAATCAACATAAAATAAATACTAAACCCCCGAAAAATATCACTGCCACAGCTCTAGCAAGGCACAATATCAGGATTATATTTTTGATAATGATAAAATAGAAATTTTAAATAGAGCGGAAGGTAATAAAATAAGAACGTATCTTTAATCTATCTACATAACTAAAAATATTAAAGATGTGTCTAATTTCAAAATGGATATTAAGGGGATTCGGCAGCACTAGACATAATTAATACATAACAGTTTTAATTAAAGTAATTTAAATAATTATTTCAAAAAAATTATTAGCAATAATATGAAACTTAAAGCGTTAGAATACAGTAATCTTAATCCCAAAGAACATAATAATATGTAGCGAAATGCGAAAATTTATAGCATTTTAATGAATTTTTTAACTAGTGAGGCGTTTCCACAGGTAATTTATAAAATATTATGATAAAATGTTGAAAAAATCGTTGTTTGGCCTTTCTTATTTGAGATGTATTGTTAATTTTCTGTATCTTTATTTTAATTATTGAATGGACTTTTCATAAATATTTATGAAATTAATTTTTGAAGAAGGTGACTAACGATGTAAGTAGTTATTTTATTCATTAAGTTGGTTTTGTGAATTTTATAGATTGTTGTTGTATGTGCTGTTGCGTCTTTTTCACGTATATATTTGTGTTTAGTGTATTGTAATATTTTAGATAGAAATTTCGACTTGAAAATGGGCAAAGTTGGCCTGATGCGTTGTCGAAATAAATAAAAATAAAAATGGATTGAAGCATTGAGAGGAAGTCAAAGGATTGATAATGTTACTTGAAATTATTAATTAATTAAAAATACCCTTGGAAAATTTCAAGATTTAATTAAAATCATTTCAACTATGAAGGACCTAGCAAGGTTGGCTGAAAATATAGTCCACGTTGCATGGGTAGAGTGAAAATTTTAATTTATGTATTTATTTATTGAAAAAGTTGTATTGTATTAAATTGTATATACACTTTTGTTTTTGTCATTTTTTATATTGAATAGTTTTAAGCAACTTAATACATGTAGCATTTTAGAGAGATATTGAGAGAGAAGGGAGAGAAAAGGAAAAAAAAAATATATATGTATTTAACATACTCATACTTATTAACCACTTCTGTAGATTTATATATAAGTTTTATTGATTTCCCTAAAGATTAATCAGTAAGCTTTTATATTTTATACCAAAATAAACAGTTTCCCTCTCCCCTTCATCATGAAATTCTCTTTCAATTGATACCACATTCATGAAAATCTATATTTCACTACCGTGTTATTAGGGTACCTTGAGTGCAAGTCAAAGATTGTTATCGTACAAACTGCTTCACTTAGAACCTTTTATGTTATGGAGCTCACAATAGATAAAAGGAAGTGAATTTGAATTAAATTGCTCTACGCTATTGTCTTTCGATCCACGGAATATTCAGTTTAGCAACAGATGTGGCCGTATCAACAGGTAACGTTTTTTTAATAAAATGGCGATCGGCCCAGATACATCAAGAATAATTCAGCACGCAGAAATACTTTCCACCCACAAATATTTCCGTTTTATATATTCCCTCTCTGCAGTCTTCGGAGTGTTCCCTTTCATCCTGCATAGAGGTCGTTACAGGATATCATACTTCTTCAGTGTTCTCTCGGTAATAATCTGCATCTTCGTCGGATTCGTTGCGATGGTTTTGAGTCATCTCTTTCTTTTCGTGCTACCGAAGGGCAAAAACTTTGTTCTAAAAGCGGAACTAGTTTTACTTTTATGCTTTACAGTTAGCTTGTCCACCATGCACATCATAACAGCGAGCACCTCGATCTGGAGAGTCCGGGCTGTTCGTCAGATCATCGGTATCCTGGAAGAAGTAGACGCCATTCTAAGCATCCGTTTGAAGATGGATTTTGGTCTATCGGATCTCACGGCCATTTCTTTAAACTTGTTACTCGATTGTTGGCTATTCTATCAGACTCAATCTATTCACTATATAATGTTTGGCTTAATTCTTGTAACAAACATTTGGTTGGTAATATCACAGTTTTCAGTCTTGGCCTCTCTCATAAACAGCAGATTAGAAGGAGCTTGCGAGTGCTTGAATGAACTCAAGATGAGACCCGATTCGCCTTACAAAGATCAGAAGGTCGCCATACTCTCCGATGTCCACAACAAGCTCTGCGACGCCGGCGAGATCCTCCATACTGCATTCGCTTGGATGCTGACTATAATGATTGCTATGTGCTTTGTAGGAATCATTGTACTTACTTTCAACATTTATGCTTCCTATAGACGGGACAACAATTTTGACATTCGTCTTCTGCTATTTCAAGATGATAAATTATTATGGATACTGTACTACTTCACCGTCACATGGAAAATAGCTTCCTCTTCATCGCAACTTAACCAGAAGGTTACCAAATTATGTAAACTAGATATAAAAATAATATAGATATAATAATGCACCTTTATATTAATAATTTTAAAAAAAGTTATCTAAATTTTTTAAACATATAGAAAAAGGTTTGTATCTGTGTTTAGGAAACATATCCGTGCATGGGTACGCAGATGATTTGATATTATTGGAAACGAAGAAACGAAAGCAATAAAACTAAAAAACAGCCAACAGCTCGATGCTGCCTCTCCCGGTCCTCTCCCTCCTGGCATGCTCGTGGAAATCCTCTCCCTATCCTGAAGTTCGTAGATTCCACCTTATGTCTCCATCTTCCCACGAACTCCACGAACTTCTTCACGAAGTGGGGATATTTCTCCTCTTCCATAAGTCGAAGAAGATCCTCTAAGTCTAGGGGGTATAGTCCCGTCCTCCGTATCAATATTCCTCTTGCTTGCGCCATCGCGGTACATGATGTAATTACATGCTCAGCAATATCAGGGGCTCCGCAGTCAGGACATGAGGGGTCGATGTTCTTCCCATGCTTCCTGAGTTTGTCTCTAAACCCCCCATGTCCCGTCAGGATCTATGAGGTCCAGTAGTCCGACTCGACCCAAAGTTCCTTCAATCTGGAATGAACGGTGGGGAAGTACTTTCTCAAGATTCTCACTTGCAATCCACCGCCCATTCCACTCTTCTAGTGTCGCTTCTCGGATTATGCCACTCCATCTTGCTGGATCCGCCGCTGAACCCCTCTGGGAGTGCCTGCAGTCCCTGCCTCTTAAGGTCATTCCTCCAAGCGTTCTTCTGAACGACGAGGTCCATGGGTAATTCCCCGGCCAGCACTTGCACCGCTTCGTGGGACACGGTTCTGTACGTTCTAGTCGTCCTCATCAGAGCGAGGCTTTGAATGGTGGTCATATTCTTCTTCTTCACCTGATTAAAGCGACGGCTCCATGCTGGGGACGCATATCTCAGTATACCCAGCATAACACCCTTGTAGATGATTCGTTTCGTTGGGTATCTGAGGAGAAATATTTAATTTAGATTTAAATCTCACGCCTAGTTAGGTGATCTCCTCACCTAGGCGGACTCTGTGTGTTCCTACTCTGAGACTAATAGAAAAGGCCCTGTCAGTAGAACCCTTCAACAGAATGGGTTGGGTGTTAGCCGCCACCATCTTCACCTTCTTCCTTGCACACCATTCTCTATAGTGGCCCACCTTTCTCCTTCCGCCACCGATCTCGCCCTGCTATTCGCTACTACTATGGCAGCCAGGTCATCAACATAGGCAACGGCACCGAAGGAACGCTACCTCCTATTCCCCTAGCAACTGGTCAAATACTAACTTCCACAGGGCCGGGCCCAAGGCTGAGCCCTGTGGACATCCTCTTTTCCGCTCTGCCTCATAGAAGGTACCCCGCATCCTAGCTTTAATATCGCTGAGGTACGCCCTAATGAGAGAGTACAAGTTGCTGGGGGTGTCGAACTATTGGTGGCGCTGGAGTACGCAGGGCCACCATACACTATCAAAGGCGGAAGATATATCGAAAAGGACCATCATCACTTATTTCTCCGTCTTGTCATCAACCTCCCTGCGTAACCTCATCAGGGCATCTCCGGTGCCGCGCCCCTTCGTGGATCCGTACTGCCTCGGGTGACTCGCTGCCCGTAGGACTGGAGTCAGGCTCTTCCATTATAATCCTTTTTTACTAATTTAGTATTGCATTACTTAGATAAACAAATAATTAATAATTTATTGATCTAAAAAATTATTTATTTTTTTATTAAACTTTTTTTTAATTATCCCAATTAGTTTTTGTAGGTTTCCGGAGTAATATATATATTGTGAATTAATCTTTTCAAAATTATATCTTAATGGAATACCGTATTAGGAAAGATAAAAGAAAAAAATAGTGTCGAAAACCAATTGATAACGAGTTTCATTGAAAATATGTATTGAAATATCTCAGAAACTAAAAATCGGACCTAGAAGATGACAGCCTTATTTATTTATTTTATTTTATTTTTATTTTCCTCCCTACCCTGCCTTTAAGACAATACGGGAGTTTGCAGCAGTGACTTGATACACATTGTATAACAAATCACTGTTGCATGTTTATCTATTTACATTTTTAAATTGCTGTGCACACAGCCTGCTTGATAATTTTGTCACTTAGTTATTGTTCTCCATCTTCTTCTCCTGTCCTAATTAGCGGCCTTCCAGGTACTGCTTCTTCACGCCTTCCCAGGGAGAAGTGGGTTGGGCCCACAGTTTTTTTTCCAGCCGCATACGAAACTTTTAAAGTGCGGGTAGTTTTGTTCAGACATTAGTTGGGGTAATTGTCCTTCTGTAAGAACGAAAAGCCCTGTATCCCTCATTAATTTGGCCCTCAGTGCCTATAGCTGGTGCAGGCTACAAGGATGTGCTCAGCGGTTTCAGGTACTCCACAAGTGGGGCATAAGGGGTCGATATTTTTACCGTGTTTAAAAAGTTTTGCTCTGAAACCCCCATGCCCCGTGAGGATCTGTGAGACCCAGTAGTCCGGGAGGACCCATTTCTTTTCTAAGCGCGATTTAATGGTGGGAAAGAATTTTCTTAGTGTGGACCCGTTTGAGGTTGTCACCCATCGCCGATTCCATTGTTCCAATGTATCCTCCCGGAGGATCATCTTCCATCTTCTGGGGTCATCACAAATCCTCTCCCGAATGTTTGCTGGTAAATCCGCCAAGTCATCCCTCTTAATGTTGTACCGATAAAGGTCTTCCCGCAGAAGGAGGTCGAGAGGAATACCTCCTCCTAAGACCTGCACCGCCTCGTGGGACACAGTTCTGTATGACCTGGTTACTCTAAGCAGGGCCATCCGCTGGATTGTTGCCAACTTGCGCTTCTGACGGTACGAGAGATTCCGGTTCCATGCGGGGGACGCGTATCTCAGGATACCAACAACTACTCCTTTATAAATGGACATAGTTGCTGGATATCTAAGGCCCCAAAAGGCTCCCCCTATGCGACTGAGACCATTAAGGGCTAAGGTTATCCTATTCCTTAAGTAATCCAAGTGAGGCGTCACGTTGAATTTTTTCCCAATCCTAATTCCAAGATAGGTGACTACCTCACTTGGACATATTCTGGAACCTTGTATCACCAAGGTTATGGGGTGTGCCCTATCGGTCGAACCTCTCAAGAGGATGGCCTGAGTCTTGGAACCCGCCATCCTTAACTTCTTTTTCTCGCACCATTCTTCTACAAGGTTGGCACAACGTTCAGCTTCATATTTTAATCTGGCCCTGCTATTCGAGGCCACTACAACAGCCAGGTCATCTACATATGCAGTGGCGGGGAACCGCTCCTGTTCTAGCACTCCCAGCAACTCGTCAAAGACCAGTTTCCATAGGGCAGGGCCAAGGACAGAGCCCTGTGGACAGCCCCTTTCCACTGTATCTTCTACTTCATAGAAGCTACCTTTAATCTTCAATGTCCTATCGTGGAGATAGCTTCTGATCAAGCCATACAAGTTGCTGGGGGCTTCATGCCTTTGCAACTGCTGGAGTACGCTCGGCCACCAGACGCTATCGAAGGCGGATGATATGTCAAACAGGAGGAGCATAACATACTTCTCCGCCTTCTCTTCGACATCACAGCGCACTCTCAGCAGGGCATCTGCGGTTCCCCTGCCTTTAAAGAAGATGACAGCCTGATCAACCCAATCTCCAAACACTCCTGTTGTCAATTGGTCTCAGCTGATAACCTCGATGTTCCCTCCTTATGATTTACATCTTCCTCGTTATTATGTATTTACATTGAAAGGGAGTGCTACCTACACTGCATTAGTCAAACCTTTTAGCTTAATTCAACTGGAAATGTTATTTCAAGATAAATGCAATCGATTGACATAAGATCTGATCAGGGAATTGGTGTAATGTGGATCAGATAGATGCTCGCAAATTACTCCCGTACAGTCAAATATTCAGTTTTGCCACAGAAAGAACTCTATCAACAGGTAACCCTTATTTAATAAAATGGCACACAGCTCAGATGGATCGGAGAAGATTCGCCAAACTGATGTACTTTCAACCCGTAAATATTTTCGCCTTATTTATTTCCTCTCTGCAGTCTTCGGATTGTTCCCGTTCACCTTGCAGAGAGGTCGCTACACAAGGTCATATTTCTTCGGTGTTTTATCAATAATAGTCACCTTCATGGTCGGAATTATGTCAATTTTTTTAAACTATGTCTTTGTCTTTGTGAAGAAAAAAGGCAAAAACTTTCTTGAAAAAGCAAAAGTGGTTTTATTCATATGCATCGTAACCAGCTTGTCCACCATGCACATCACAACAGCAAGTACCTCGATCAGGAGAGTAAAGGCTATTCATCAGATTATTGGTATCCTCGAGGAAGTACACGCAGTTTTAAACATCCCCTTAGGAATGGATTTCGGTCTCTCGGATCTTTTATCCTGTTCTTTAAACTTATTAGTCATTTTTTGTCATTGCTATAATCATCTAGAGTTCATCTATTCATTTCTAAGCTTTATTGTCGTAACCAACGTTTGGTTGGCAATGTCACAGTTTTCTGTTCTGGCCTCTCTCATAAACAATAGATTAGAAGGAGCTTGCGAGTTTTTGGACGAACTCAAGTTGAGATCCGATTCGCCTTACAAAGATCAGAAGGTCGCCATACTCTCCGATGTCCACAACAAGCTCTGCGACGCCGGCGAGATCCTCCATACTGCCTTCACTGGGCTGCTCACTTTATTGGTAGCTTCCAGCTTTGTCGGAATCATTTTACCCACCTTCTGTCTGTATGACGCCCAAAAACGTAACGGAAACTTTGACATTCGTCTTCTGCTGTTACCAGAGGAATTTGGATTGTGGATTTTGTACTATTCCACCATCAACTGGAAAATCGCTGCTTCATCATCGCAACTCTCTCAAAAGGTTGTCAAATTATTTAAAATATTAAAAATAACATACTATTTTTTTTTACCATCACATTATTAAAAAATCTGGTGCCCGCAAAACAAAACTTTCACTTACCTCTCTACTTTGAATAGAAATTATTTTTTGGTTATGTTGTCCAATTATAAAATTATTGAAGTATAATTCTAACGGAGCTATAGCTTAACACATACAGCCAACAAATAATTAAGACCACTAAAACAACTAAAACGTTATTAATTATATTAACTGTATACAGTAAAAACCTCGGTACTCCATCTGTTTTAGTAAACCACATTACTCCAGACTCTGAGCTATACCTAGAGAGATTTGAAAGTATATCGGAATATTTAACCTATAAATGATTATCGCTTTTAGGACTATTAGTTATTAATCTGTCATTTTTCATTGTAAAGTTTACTAAAAAGAAATAACAAAATTTTCGTTGTCTGCCATGGATAATTGAAAAGTTGTCACACCAATTGTAAGTAGATAATGTTGGTATTTTACATTTCATTTGACTTTTTTCTAATAAACGGCCCATAGATACCTAATTATTTAAATATAACATCATATCTAGAATTATTAAACTACAGTAAATGTATTTAAAGTTATAAACATATCCATTAAATATTTTTATATTTCACTTCTTCTTTCAAACAAGAACACTGAAATAGTATTATGAGCAGTTCAGTGGATTTTAAATACTTTTTTCAAACTTTCAAAAAAATTTAAAAGTTTACATTTAGTAAGAAAATTTCCTTGCAAGCATGTGATTTAAGTTAAATAATGTTGGTTTTCTGAAATTATTATTTACATTTTTTTGTCATTCTCCGTTATCTTCTACAAACTTCTTTATTTGATATAATTTTTTCTAAAAATCTCAGCTTTGCAACGATATATTTTAGTTTTAATAGTTATACGTATACCGTCTGACTGTTCTTTCTTCTAATTTTCAACCTCGATAGGCATTTTTCTTTTTATTCTACAGTTTCAAATTATCATATTCTTTTAAACTTCTTATTTATCCAATTTTATAGTTACTGTCAATAAAAGAGAAGCATTTTTTAAAATAAACCATTGTTAACGCCGCATAAGCTCATTTCTTTATTTTTTTTTAATTATTATTTTTTCTCACCATTAACCCCTTTTAAATGTTAATAATGGAGTAAATGTTTATTTATTTTTTTGTAATAGGCCGAGGGATATTTTCTTTAAAGTGTATTTAAGTTTATATTATTTGTATATTTGGCTTCGTTTGCGATGTGTTATCGCATTTGTGTATACGCTCCAGCCCGGCAGTAATACCCTGTCTTGGAGATTAAGACACAAATACTGCGATAAAACTGCGATCTAAGCTCAGTCTGGAGCTGGATTTTGATGACGGATCCACTTAGTGGACGGCTACCCCACCCGCTGCTCCAGGTTCACCTCAACTCAACAGCCTAGCGCCATTTTTTTATAACAGCTGTTGGACGCAACTGAGTCATCGATCGAGATCGATACATATCGATACCACCCCACCATCGATTACTTGACAGCTAAATATCCAGAAGGTAACCAGATTGGAAGCAGAACCTCCAACTTGGCTCGTTTTTTTATTATCACGAAAGACAATAAATTATTTTAATTTTTTCTTCGCTAAATTAGTTTTGTTCCTGTGAAAAGTTATGGTTCTTTTGTTTATTTATAGTTTTAGAAGTTGATTTTATTTATATTTTTTCCCTAATGTTTAATTGTTTTTAATTTCTCTGCATATTATATTTGTGTTTTATTTTTCCAGCAACTTTTTGCACCAATATTTATTTTAAATTTTGTATATAATTAGATCTTTTTTTATTCAATAAATTGTAAACGTTCAAAAGGGGATTTTTTATTTTCCGTTTTTTGATTTATTGCATATTTCTATTTAATATTATTTTCCTGTGCATGCATTTGTTTTTTTCTTTAATGTTTTACAGGTCTCATTTTTACTCTTTTTATTTTTTTTCCTTCTTTCCCAACATTTAATTTTTCTCGAATTTTCTCACCTTTGAGGAACCTCACCGGGGAAGGGTTTGTGTTTTAATTTTGAAATACCCTCGGCCCCAACAACCATATTAAGGGTAATTTAGAGGAATATGAACATTGGGCATTTAAGCCCTGTAAAGTAGCATCAATGGGGATAAGACTTAAATGATATTAATGATAACATAATTATACAATGATACACAGAGTTTAATCAAAATTGTTGAAGCCGTTTTTGAAGAAATTGTAGAAATGTGTATAACCATTGATATAAAGTGCCACTTCCGTTTAGCCGATTTTAAGGAAAAATTTTCTGTCATATCTAAGGCACATACCTATCTTAAATACATTTCTATGTATTGAACATAGCAAATGAGGTTTTAAAAATTATTATGAATGAAGTTGAATGAGTATAATTAAGTTGAATGAAACCGACTTCTGACACAAAAAAAAGCGTACAAGGATGAGGAACTGGTAGATAAGGACCGACCACGTGTACCTGGACCCTGGTGAAGGCTTAGAGTAAAAACTAGTAACGGGCTAAGTAACTGGTTCCTCTTAGGCTGTTACCAGTTATTGTGAAGTAATATGGTGACGTTAAGAACCAATGAGAAATATTCTTGCCCTAACCTGAATCTATATATATAAAAATGAATGTATGTCTGTCTGTCCGTCTGTTTGTCCTTTGTGCATTACTAAACCATTCAACCGATCGCCATGAAACTTTGGGAAGTTGTTCCGTGCACTCTTTTGAAGGTTTCTGGCATAGTACTTCTGTCTTACAATAATTTTATATATGTAAAAAAAAATAAAAATGAAAATGTTTTTCTGTTCGAAGCCGCAAAAAATGAGTCGCTATAAACTGTAGCGCCAAAACGGCTTTAGCGATTTTAAGGAAACTTGGCTAAAGTCTTCCCCTTGAAACCCTTTTAATTTATCTGTATAACATACTTTCCCGAAAACAAGCTGAAAAATGTTACGATGAATTCAATATTTTATTTGACGATAACTAAAAAAGTACACAATTTTTTACTGATAATACCCACATTTATTTGAAAGATTCCTGATTTGCCGACAAAATAAAAAAGATGTCATCGGAATCGGACGGTTCGTTGCAGAGTTATTGAGTTTTAAACATTTACTGCTTTCTCTTCAGAAAAGGCCGTTTCCTTTTGTTTCCTCACTACCGAAGGTAGACAAGCATTTTTTTATTGAATAATCGAAAATTTTATAATTACTACAGTAATTGAAATTATTATTTGAAGAATTTATATGATCCTCCTTATGTAGGTCAATACTATTATATGTTTTTTAAATTAATTTTTTAATTTAGTTTTATAAGTTCAAATCAGGCTGTTTCTGATGATTTTGAATGACGGCGTATTTACTCAGATGATTATGAATGTTCAATTTGAATCATAAGAAAAAAAACAATAAGAATTAGTTTCAATTGAAGCCATTTTACAGACAAATTTGTTTCCAAACTTTTTTAAAATGACAGATGTCCTTTGCTACTAATTTACTCACATGTGCTTTCTATTTTCTTTCTTTTTCATTTTGCCAGGCTAAGCCACAGCAGCGCGTGGCCGGGTAAAGCTAGTATTTCTATAAAATCTACCGAGAAAGAAGAAAAGAGATCTCCGGACTTGATGATAGGTCTTATGTTAATGTCAGACCTTGAGGATAGGTCTTATGTGGATTTTCGGCCTGGAGGATAGGTCAGATGTTTTCTTCCGGCTTGGGGACTGAAGCCTTGGCTTTGCATAGACCACATAACATACATAACATAGACCACACAGATGGGCGTCTTGGAGAAGTTTTTGGACCTGGCCTTAAAAAGATGACCTCGGATCAGCGGATGCAGCAATGAAATCTACCAACCACACCACTTCATATACAAGAGATAAGTGTTATTCCCAACATTAAATTTACCAATGTTAGAATATTTAATGGCAAAACAGTCCATCTGAAATCATGCCTTCGCAGTTAATTATTGAATTCATTGAATCACGTATTTCGTTCTTGTAAATATAATTTGTATATATTCTATTTTCTTTTTTCTTTTTTATTATTTATTTATATGATATTTACAACTGTATACAAAAAATACATCTGGTAAATTCGCACATGAATATAATGACATTTAACGCATGTTGAGAAACTACTCATTGGTAGCACTCTAATAATATGTCTATATTCGAAAATCACGTGGCCATCTTATTTTCAGAAGCCTCGGAGGGTTATCAGGAATCGAATAGGAAGCAAAGTTAGAGACAAGAGGGATGGGATGGTTATGAAGTTTATTATGGAAGGACAGATATCTGGATTGGGCCAAATCTGATACATAAGGAACATTAAGGTCATTATGGATAATTTTATTTGTAACAAAGTAAGGAGCATTGAGGATTTTACGAAGGATTTTGGATTATAAGGATTGTATGCGAGAGGAATTTGAAGGTTTGGTGGAGCCCCATAGCTCAACTCCGTAAGTCCAAATAGGCCTTATTATAGTCATGTAAATGAGTCTTTTATAATTGATTGGAAGTTTAGAGCGTTTGTCTAGTAAGTGTTGAAGTAGTCGGAAACGTCGAGCTGTTTCTTGTCGTTTCAGTCTGGTATGAGGATTCCAAGTTAGACGTTTGTCCAGATGGAGTCCTAGGTATATTCTTTTTAAACATAGAAATAAATTAAGTTTATTAGTAAAAGTTATTTTAATTTTGCTACCTATTTATATCATGATGATCACAGGTAATGTGTGTAATTAGAAAGCATGATAAACACAAACCAGCCTTTGAGAAAAGAAATCCAATTAATTAATTCTGGACCAATCAATATATTATAGATCCAAATTTATTTTAATAATTTTTTATTAAACATTTCTAAGTAATTATCATCAGTAATTATCCAGTGGCATCCCGAATAAATTTAAACACCCCTAAACGTGTTTTTATGTCATCTAAATTTTTATGTCATCCCTTTTATAGGGATAAAAAATAGCAACGTAATATCAATTTCATACGATTTTTCGTTTTTTTAGCTAGACTGTTCACATACACAGACCATTTTGCGGGACTTGGTTATTTGGGCTCAGGGGACCTCAAAACGTATATTTCCGTTAAAAACTCAGATTCCAAAATTTTCACTTACTATGTATTTCATATATCAGTAAGTGAAAGTAAAAATTATTGAAAGTAGGAGGATTCTAAGTAAGAAATTCTATTTTTGAAATATAGAAAAAATAACTAACGCCGATAATCCAAATATGATTGTACAAAATACATAGATAAACTGGCAGAAGTTTCCATTTCTAAATTATTTATAAACTAACTGATTTATTAAAATAAGAAATAACGGTTGTTTTCTTGAACTTTTATTGTTAATGATATAAGGGTGTCAAAAGTGTGAAAATATATATTTAAAACTGTATAAAATAAAAAATATATTAAGAATTGCCATGCATTATTTAAAACTAATAACTCACGTGAGAAAATTTCAATATCGCCTTGTTGTTTGTTGAAGTTCACTAATCCACTTTTTTTTTTAAACAGGCAGATTTCGAAACGAAACTAAATAATACAATAATCTAACACTTTAGGAACTTAAATAAATAAACACCTACACATTTAGAAAACTGTTTCCATATTTAAATAAGATAAACAACCCGAACGACAATATAATAATTTGAATTAACATAGAGTAATGTATTGAAGCTAGTTTGATGTTGGAATGTAAACTGCCTCCTGATTGCCTGAAACTTGGCGCCATCCACTGCTGACTATATCTCAGTCAGTCGCTCTCTGTCTGTGAACTGGGAATATTCAATTTATCAAATATTCACTTTGTCATCTTATTCGATTCTCCAAGACATTTAAGTTTTGCTCTGTCCAGGTATTTTACTATTATTATTAATATATGTTTTTAAACATGTTATTTAAGATTTATAGGTAAAAACTAGCGAATATTATAGAAACTTTCAGTTAATTCATACTAAATTCGGAATGCTCTAACATTCTAGAATTTTATTATTTAAATGGTTTTCAAGGTTAAAATATCTATATTCATTTTTTTATCTTAGTTAAATTTAAGCAAATTAATATAATTAACTATAAACATATTAAATATTTTTAATGAATTACAAATTTTTTTGTGATATTTCTCTTATTACTTACTTGGTCAAAATAAATTTCATTCTCTTATATTTTGTTTCACATATTGAAGTTTCATTATAAATATATAAAACAAATAATTAATATTAGTTAACGAAGAAAATTTCTATTAAATTATTTTCTATTTAATAAATGACATAATAACCTTACACTGGTATGAATGATTTATTTTATTGTTATTATTAATATTAGTTTTTAACTATTTATTTAAGATTGAACGAATATGAAACTTATTTTTAGTTTTTATTCTAATTTAATTAAGATCATTCTTCCTTAATAGAATGTTATTATTAAAATAATTTTACTTTTGTCTTTGAAAAGACATTTGCACCTTTCGATGTTTTAATGTTAACATTTCTAAATATTTCAGTCATCGTATTTTACAATTTAAATTAACTTCTTTTACAATGTTTTGACGATTGTATTTTTTTAATATTGTTAATTAGAAAATCATTGAATATTTTTCAATACTATGATATAACTAATTTTTAGTATATTATGAAAAATTACTGTGCACTGTATCCAACCTCTTTGTTATTCTTTACTTATGGCTTGATAAAAAATAAATTAAATTTTCTTATGTTTTACACTTGAAAAATTCGACTAAACCAAGAAATTCAAGACATAATCAGTTGAATTATTAACTTTGTGTTATTTTGACGATAAACGCAATGAATATAAATAATCTAATGCTTTTCTATTTAATAATATACGTGATAATTTTATTTTGATATGAATGATTCTATACCATGAAGAGATCGAATATACAGGTTTTTAAAATTATAATTATTATTATTGTATTGATTGAAAGACCATTTTTCGGGACTTGGTTATTTGGAATCAGGGTACCCCAAAACGTGTATTTCCGTTAAACTAACCATGAGATATAACATAAATGTTAGGTTATAATCGGAAAATTATAAACCAAACAGCGTTAAGTCTCAAAAATTCAGGCAAAGAAAAAACCTATCAACGTTTCGCCAATTCAGGTCTCATCAGGACACAAAAGTACAAAAAATCAAATTTCACTCCATGAAATCCAATTGCTTACTGGTTGAGCATACGATTGGATTTCATGGAGTGATGTTTGATTTGCTGTTCCTTTCTGAACTAATGGTGCCCGAATTGGCAAAACGTTGAAGGTTTTTTATTTTTTATTTTTCCAGCATTTTGGGGGTAATGCTGTGTGGTTTGGAATTTTTCCGATTTTAACCTACTTCTTCTTCTTTGTCTTTCTCCTTAGTGGCTTTCAGCGTGGAGTACTAACTTAAAGCTAATCCATTTACGCCAGTCAACATGGTCCCTCGCCATGTTCCTCATATAACCCAACTGCTCGCCTCTTTTCTGTCCCAGCTTGGCTATTTCGTCAATCCAAATTTTCTGTGGACGTCCTCTTGGCCTCTTTTCTGTGTGTCTGACCTCAAAAAAATTTCTGGGTTCCCTGTCCTCATCCGTCCGTATAACATGACCGAACCATTTGAAAGTTTTCTTATCCATGGTTTCCAGCATTGGTGGCACCTTAACATTTTCTCTGATCCGTTCATTTCAGATGCAATCTCTTCTAGTTCGGCCAGCTACTCTTCTCAGATATTTCATTTCGGCAGCGGTAAGTCTACTTCTGTGCCTATCTAGAAGGACCCAGCTCTCACTACGTAGGGTTGGAAGGTAGAGTATTACATATTTGTATTGTATTATATATTTGTATTGTTAGGGAGTATTGTATATATGGATCTTAGTTTATTTTCTACCTCTCGTTTTGCTAAGACCGTGTTGCAGATCTGGTAATAGATGCCATTTGCTTTTTTGATCCTGTTTCATATCTGTTGGTTTATTTTTCTATTTCTACCAACAAAAGTTTATTTGTATGTCTTCGATTTCTCGACCAATCCGCATAATCTTACGTTTATGATCATACCTTTTCTCTCAAGCTCAGCTTTCCATTCCACAATCGCTTACTGTAATTTTTCGGATGAGTCTGTTATGAGAGCGTAAACGAGAGCTTGGACTAGAATTGTTCTCATATTCTATTTTCCTATAATTGTTCTTCCAGTTCTACGTTTACAGATTTTCAGAATATCATCCATAAACACAATGTATAGTAGAGAGCTGAGACTGTCGCCTTGTTTGTTATCTTTTTCTATATTAAAGCTGTTCGATTCCTTCCCATTTATCCTTAATATACCCCGATTATAACCTAATATTAAAAATTTCTTTACACGAGGGGTGATATTAAAAGAACCTGATGTGACAAGCGGATCTATGGGGGAGAGGGGCGGAGGCTTTAGGGCTGAAGCCTCCCAAATGGTAAAATATTACCGTGTCTTATGAAAAAAATATTGAATATTTAATAGGACTTCAAGAATCACATAAACACCATTTCGTATAGGCAGTTAGTTTCTTTCTTTTTCATTCAAAGTAATTATAGTTATACTAAAAACAAAAAATACTTTCAGGCTGAAGCCTCCCTCCCCATAAATGAAATCCTGGATCCGCTAGTGACGTATTTAAAAGCTTCCAAACAAAATTATCTCTCGGCACAGTTGGCTGCAAAGAAGTTGCCCTTAGTTGCAATATACCAATATGGAGATGAAACCTGTCAAATATTATCGCCTAGACAAATCAAATCAAGCCTAGACAACCAATGGCAATCAAATAAAAGCCTAAACAAATCATTTCAATTCCATTAGAAATGTAGCCCACGACCGAGGCAGGCGATGGATTGACATTAGATCTGATTAAATTGATGTTTGCTAATGACTTTCGACCAATGGAATATTCAGTTTCGGCACAACAATACCGCCTGTAGCGTCCATTACTAAAATGGCGTTCGGTCCAACACGGCCAAGCAAAATTCACAACGCTGGAATACTTTCGACCCACAAATATTTTCGTCTTATATATTTCCTTTCTGCATTCTTCGGGGTATTCCCTTATATCCTGCGGAGAGGTCGTTACGTGAGATCATATTTCTTTAGTGTTCTATCAGTGATATTCTGCCTTTGGGTCGGGTTACAAGCAGTCTTTTTACATTACCTATTCATTTTCGTCAAGCGGAGAGGGGGAAAATATGTTGAAAAAGCGGAACTAGTTTTACTCGTATGCTTTACAACTGGCTTGTCCATCGTGCACATCACAACAGCGGGTACTTCCGTTTGGAGAGTCCGGGCTGTTCGTCAGATCATCGGTATCCTGGAAGAAGTAGACGCCATTCTAAGCATCCGCTTGAAGATGGATTTCGGTCTATCGGATCTCACGGCCATTTCTTTAAATTTCTTTATCTTTGTTTGGCTATCCAGGCGGACTAAACGTATTATATATGCAATGTTTAGTTTTATTGTCGTAACAACCGTTTGGTTGGCGATGTCACAGTTTTCGGTTTTTGCCTCTCTCATAAACAGGAGGTTAGAAGGAGCTTGCGAATCCTTAGACGAACTCAAGATGAGATCCGATTCGCCTTACAAAGATCAGAAGGTCGCCATACTCTTCGATGTACACAACAAGCTCTGCGACGCCGGCGAGATCCTGCACACTGCCTTCTCTTGCATAATGACTATAATGATTGCTATGTGCTTTGTAGGAATCATTGTACCCACCTTCTACCTTTATACAGTCCAAAAACGGAACGGATACTTTGACATTCATCTTCTGCTGTTACGTGATGAGACAGTATTGTGGATTGCTTTCTTTTTTACTATCACTTGGAAGCTTGCTGTTTCTTCATCAGAACTTACCCAAAAGGTTATCAAATTATCTTAACTAAATTATACACATTAATATACTTTTAAATTAATCACTCTTGTCTTGAATTTTCAATCTGGAATGGAGTAAACTTTGTCTATTTAATTAAGTACTAAAAACTCGTAAATACACATTTGCTTTCTACTTAGAACGTAAGATAATATTGAGCCGTTTGGCGTGACCTACACTTCCAAATTTTCAAAATAAGGAGGTTATATAGGCCATACGGCCCAATATTTTTGTAGGCCAACTTTTTTTATCGATTTTGTGATCAATTAATCTTACGATTCAAATAGAAAGCAAGTGGTATTTACTAGTTTTTAGTCCCTAATGAAATAGACAAAGTTTGCTCCCCTCCAGATTGAAAACGCCCCAATTCCAAGAGTTTACGTAAATAAAATAGTTTTAGGTTACGATGAGATGAAACTATTATACGAAGTTTCAGGCGGATGTTAATGCGAGACCGAGACGAATCTTGGTCTTGGAAACTCAGTCTTGGTCTTGCGCAAGACTCTCGTAACAGTCTTGAAGTTACCTATTAGCTTATTACTTGAGAGATATTACTTTAGATATGAGAAACCTAACTAAGACTGAATGAAAAATTAGAAGAGTTAAATGCCAATTGGTTACACCAATTCTTTACATATAGTAACTAAAATTGTCAAGAGCAAGACTAAGACCGATTTTGGGCAACACTAGTCTGTACAATACCAACCAAAAGTATGGTCTGTACAATACCAACCAAAAGTATGGTCTTGAATTCGACTAAATAGGTTTGTTGAAAAATAGACATACCGACATTATAGACACACCGACGAAATATCGATAATGAAATGTGGCAAAAAAAGTACACTGTCGTAGAGTTCAATAACAAAAAAACGCTGTAAATTATTTATTTTTTTATCTTTAAATTTTAATCTGCAACTATCGACATCTGTTGACAATCAGCAGATGGTCTGATGGAAGTAATGAAACTGACATGTCAGGCATGTGGAAGGATAGCAACCAGCAGTACCTCTTGTCTAGCTTGAATCAATTACCATGGTTTGTCAAGGAAAGAGCTCTCTCATCCAGCGCCTTTTTAATCTCCTCCTAGTATTGATGGGCATGTCAGCTGAAGCCATATCTCTGATTAGTATGTTAGTAAGTCCGTGTAAATTATTGTAAAATCGTTTGTAAAGAGTTCTTATGAGTTGTTCAACTGTAGGCAGGAGGAAGTCTGTATGTAATGTTTTGTTTGTCACGTACCAAGGTGCTTTAGTTATTAGTCGTAATATTTTTGATTGGAAAGTTAGAAATTTTTGTAATTTAGTCTTTTTAGCTATACCTTAAATCTGTGAGGAGTAAGTCCATATTGGTTTAAGTAAGTATATGTATGTATTTAGGTTCTGTCTCAGTTCTAGTTTTGAAGATTTGGAAAAAATTAGTAAAGGTTTATTATTCCAAACAATTATACATCTAAAGTAACATTACCTTCCTAGTGACAAAGAAAAAGAAATAAAAGGCAATTCCAATTAATGGCCTAAACATTTTTTTTTTCATCATTTGTAATTTGGTAAACAAAAATAATAGCATTATTTCAGTAACACATTCAAAAATCAAAACAAAAGATATAACCTTTTCAGTAGAACATATAAAAAATATCTAGAGACCATATCTTTGCTCCTAATTGTCCGATCCTAACTTTGTCTTTAAGGAAATTTTGTAAACTTTTAAATAACCGTATACAAAAAAGTATATAATTTTTGAGTTATTCGGAATCTAATTTTAACATCCCTCATAATTTTTCTTCCAGCTTCTTTTCGTTGTAGTATGTTATATGAATAAATTTAAAAGGCATCAGGAGACTTCAGCCAAGTTTCATTGAAATCGGTACATTCCTTTAGGCGCTACAGTCTATAGCAACGTAGGTTTTTAGGCCTCCATCTTTATAATAAAAGGCGGATAGTAATGTCGATGAAAGAGGATCATCCTCGAGTGAAGTGAGATTTTAAATTTAAATTTGAAAAAAATTGGTTCAATGGTTTCGGAGAAAATGTGCGGGCGGCGGACAGACAAAAAACTTTTTATTCGTTTTTCGAATAGATGACAAAGAATAGGGCTTCCCAGATAGCGGTGGATGGAAGATGCGGAGAAGGATCTGAGGACACTTGGAGTCCGAAAGTGGAGAAGTGCAGCTTTGGCCAGGGACGAAGGGCGAAGAATTGTGGAGGAGGCCAGGGTTCTGCAAGGGCCGTAGTACCACAGAAAGAAGAAAAAAGAATACTTCTGGACATCGTTCTTGTTTGACGAAAGATAAATTATGGGAACTTCAAGCAGTAAACGTTTTGAGCCCATATATTGCACTTCAGATTATGATTTGTTGAGTTCAATGGCTCATTTTTTAAAATGTCGGATCTTTGATAAATAAGAGGGTGTACAAATTTGATGTGAATTGTTCATTGTCTCAAGACTAAAAAAAAAATCTGGTGTGTCCACTCACACGACTTTCCTACCTATTTCAGAAAAGTTTTTATATCTTTACATATGTTCATGAACGAACAAAAAAGAATTGAACTAAAGGTATTAGTTCATAACAGTTCCGCACGGATTACGCATGGTTCACAATCACTTCGATCACACTTGTTCATGGAATCCCGAAAACAGCCGAATGTTGTCGTCTTTTATGACGTCAGCTATTGTACCTTTTCCTCCTTTTTCATGCATTTTTGAAGAAAAGAAAACGTATTTCCTTCGTGGAACTTCCTTATTAAAAATGTATTTACTAATTAGTTAATTATTAATTTGCATTATAACGGTCATTACTGTGAAAGAAAAAGAAAAAATATATAAAATAATGTTTGAGTCCTTTCTTCAAGGACTGTAAAAAAAAAAAAATGCTTTTAGAAATAAAATTTTTATTGACACGTGCTTACATGTAGTGGCTATAAAAAATACGCATATACTGTTGTATATTATCTTTTATAAATTGTATAAAAGAGTTTTTCATCCTTTGGATAATAAATAATCTGAATGGCGATTATTGTAGTCATTCGTAAAATAAAAAAATCGTATTTATTTTCGAGAAAGGAATTAACGTATTGAGAAAAGAACTGACGAAGAATATCTGATAATTCCGAGATAATGAATAATAGAAATCATAAATAAGAAAAATATTGTGAAATATCATTCAGAGATGTAATAATTAAATGTTTTATCTATTAATATTCCTTTTTCACAGATATATAATATATGTACATGTTCGATTCAGATTTCATAATATGTAGTCTAAATTTCTAATTTAAGTCAATACCTTAAATAACATTAATATAACTGAACATGTTTAAGGTTATAGAAGTACTTAAATGGCGGGAAAGTTAATCGTAATAACTGATTCAAGAGATCGGTCGCCTTCGTTCTCTGTCGGATAAACCCGAAGGCATTCGGGATTCCATGAACAAGTGTGACCGAAGTGATTGTGAACCATGCGTAATCCGTGCGGAACTCTTGTGAACTAGTACCGAACCGACTCTCATTCACCCCTTTCTGCCACCAGTAAATGAACTCGTAATCTTTCATTGGAATAGCTGTAATTTCGTTAATAGTTGTCCAAATTGAACGATTTTTAAATGGCTTTGTAGGGAATTTCATTACCTTTCATTTGTCACAGGCATCCGTAGTCAAAACCCTACAAAAAAAAAAGAAGCAACAAAATCGGTTCAGTAGTTCCCGAGAAAATCTTGGCACAGACAGACAGACAGACCAATGGTTAAACATGTGTTTTTCGGTCTCAGGGGGCTGTGAAACGTATAGATCCGTCGAAAACCGCATATCGGAAATTTGACCCGCTTGCAATACTTGCCTTACCTAGAATAGCTAGGAAAGTAATAGTGTCGGCATAAAACACAATTACAAGTACAAAGATAGGTGAAAGTGATACTTTAAAGGTGAAAACAATAGTGATACTTAAAGAGTAATATTCAATAATGCTTAAAATATGTAATATGAAATAAAGCTATACCTATGCAAAAGAGAATAATTGAAGAGAAGGATGGTTGGAATGATCAGTCAAATTAAAATGGCAAAAATAAATAATTTTATTTATTTTTACATTCGCCGACGTTTCGGCCGGAAGTTCAGGCCTTCGTCAGGGCTGAAAAAAAGAACCAGATAAGAATAGGTATAATAACCCAGAATAAAGATTAAACAAGGTGAAAGGTGTAGACTAATAATTTTAAATAGAAAAACATAACGTAAAATAAAGTAGATAGAATGAACATTAAAGTAAAACAAAGTAGGTAGAATGATACCAGTGAAAGAGAACTAAGAAATAAATAATAATAATAACAAAGCACGGACCAATGAAATAAACATAATAAAATATATGGTATCTATAAGAAATGAAAATGGTAATCTAGAATAAAGTGTAAAACAGATAAAAGAAACATGAAGTTATATATGGAAATAATAGATATAAATAGAACATTAAGATATTGTAAAATCTATAAAAAAATATAATATAAAAAGATGGAGAAACAGAAAATAGAATGACTGGAAAGACGAAGAAACCTAAGATAATAAAAATAAACAAAAATGCTGTACCACAAGTAAAGTCAGACAGACTTGCAGCGGGAGGGAGGGGAGCTGGCAGGTGGCGTCCTCTTCAACGTTTGACAGAAAAATGAACTAAATCACAGAAAGGTATATGATGGACGAGAGATTTATTATAGAGTTATTATAATAAATATTATAATAATAGTTATTTATAATAGAGTACCTGATCTACGTGAAACGTGAGAAAAAAGAAAACCATAAAAAAAAGAGAACAAAAAAGAATTTCTTTAATGAGATTAAAGAAAAGAAAACTGAAGGTTGAACGGAAATGATTAAGTCTATTGTTAAGGCAATGGCATATTAATGATTTATTTTGAATGTTTTGATAAGCTATGGAAAGTTATGGATAAATTTTGAAAAAGGAGATTGCAATGGATATTTTAATAAATTCAGAATTTATTTCAAAAGGAACTTTCAATAGACTTTCCAATGAACTTAAACGACTGATTCAGAATTTTAAAAGAACGACCTACGACCATTATCTCAAAAATCTTTCGACTGACGACGGAAGCTTCTGGGGAAGGTGTCAGCACCTCTCCGAAACGTAGATGGTTCCTGAGCTGTGAAAATTCTGAGCTCTTTGCCAACCATCTTTCTTCTGTCTTCACACCACATACTGACTTCTCTAATACTGATCACGAAAGACATGTACAAAACACTTTAGACATTCCTTTACAACTGTCATTACCTCCACTTTGCTTCACTCCCACTCAAGTTGCAGAACAAATCAGACAGTTACCTAAGAAGAAAGCTCCCGGTCATGACCTGATAAATGCCCAAGTGCCCCAGAAAATGCCTCTAGTATACCTAACATCAATTTATAAAGCAATACTCGGAACGATTAAATTCCCCTTTCATTGGAAATTTTCATTCATAAAAATGATTCACAAACCTAACAATAACACTGACTTTCCTTCATCATACAGACCCATCAGCTTGCTCCCATTATGCTCTAAAATCTTTGAGAAACTTCTCTACAAACAACTTCTTCTTCTTGACATACTGACTACCGAAAACATAATTCCTGAACATCAGTTTGGATTTCGTTTACACCACTCAACCATTCATCAGCTCCACCGACTGACAGACTACATTGCGACAGCACTAGAGCATAAATTATATGCGACAGGAGTATTTCTGGATATTGCTCAAACGTTCGATAGAGTCTGGCATCAGGGACTTCTTTTCAACCTTAAAATTATACTCCCTCCAATCTATCTTATTCTCCCTCCAATTCTTATCTTATTCTTCAATATTTTTTTCTGACAGATTTTTCTCTGTTTGCCATGGTACAGAACTATTTTCCCTTAAACCAGCCTTAGCAGGAGTGCCTCAGGGGTCAGTACTTGTTCCTCTCTTGTATATCATTTACACATATAATATTCCAGATCCTGTCAATACTCTGACCGCGACTTATGTAGACGATACAACAATCTTGACAAGACATAAAGATTCAACATACGCCTCAAAGACACTACAATACCACCTAAACAAATTTACGACTGGTGCAAACTCTGCTATTTACCTTGACAATTTCCAAATTCCTCAGACAGACAAAGTTCATTATCTTGGACTGACCATTGACAAAAGGATGACATGAGGCCTACATATCAAAAACAAAACAACAACTCTAAACCTAAGACTGCGACTATTGTACTCTCTCAATACAAGACATTAGAAATTAAAATTTTAAAATTAAAACAGAAATTGAATGCATATACTTACCAACTTAAGCCCATTTGGACCTACGCTTCAAAGAGATACGGGACAGCCAAAAAGACTCACATACGTAAACTACAGACTTTTCAGTCTAATACTTTCAGGACTATCAATAAGTCTCCCTGCTACGTCAGTAACATTACTTTGCATAAAGACTTACAGATGCCAACAGTTAACGACCACATATGTACACACTACAAGATATTTCATAACAATTTACACCGACATACCAACTCATTGGTTCGCGGCATGGCCACAACTAACATGCCCGATAGCACTCGAAGTTCTATCTCCTCCACTAACCATAAATAATACATTCAAGATAGGAAGAACGCCGCTGGGCATTCCTCTCTCTCACAACTATTCCAATACATATTAATCTTCTACATCTTGACATCACACTCGCTGATTTTCGGAACTTCTGACAGGTGTGAGTTGAAAAATTAAGTTAAAAAAAAAAGTATAAATTTTTCAAAACTAAATTGAACAGCAGACAGACGAGTCCACCATCTTGATTATAATTTAATAAATTTATAAGATGATGTGAAGCTAAGGCGGCTTCTAGATCAATCTTTTTATTGTACCATAATAAAATTCATTAACATCTAAATGTTGTAGAGTAAAATAAAATTCAAATTTGCTATATACTTGATACAAGATAACTGTAATTCACTCCATTAGTTATTCAATCATTTTATTTCTTCAATCATCAATTTTGAAGTTATGAAATTTCATCAATGAAGGTAGGACAATGGGAACTTAAAGTGAAAGCCTAACCTATCTCCAAATACTCATGTAAGTTAGTTTGGCATTAGTCAAAACCTTTTAGCTTAATTCAACTGGAAGTGTATCTCAAGACAAATGTCATAAATTGACATGAGATCTGATCAGTATATCGTTGTAATGCGGATCAGATAGACGCTCGCAAATGACTTCAGTGTCAGTTTTGCCACAGAAAGAATTATATCAACAGGTAACCTTTATTTAATAAAATGGCACACAGCTCAGATCGATCGGAGAAGATTCAACAAACTGGAGTACTTTCAACCCGTAGATATTTTCGCCTTATTTATTTCCTTTCTGCAGTCTTTGGATTGTTCCCGTTCACCTTGCAGAGAGGTCGCTATACGAGATCATGTTTCTTCGGTGTTTTATCAGTAATAATCATCCTCTTGGTCGGATTTATTTCAATTTTTTTAACCTATGTCATTGTCATTGTGTATCCCAAAAAAAAAAACTTTTTTGAAAATGCGGCACTAGTTTCACTCGCATGCCTTGTAATTAGCTTGTCCACCATGCACATCATAACAGCAATCAACTCGACCTGGAGAGTCCGGGCTGTTCATCAGATCATTGGTATCATCGAAGAAGTAGACGCCGTTTTAAACATCCCTTTAGGAATGGATTTCACTCCCTCGGATCTTTTAGTCTCGTCTTTAAACGTATTACTGGTTTTTTACCATTGCTTTAATGAACCACAGTTCATCTATTCATTTCTGACCTTTATTGTCGCCACCAACATTTGGTTGGCAATGTCACAGTTTTCGGTTTTAGCATCTCTCATAAACAGCAGGTTAGAAGGAGCTTGCGAGTCCTTGGACGAACTAAAGATGAGATCCGATTCGCCTTACAAAGATCAGAAGGTCGCCATACTCTCCGATGACCACAACAAGCTCTGCGACGCCGGCGAGATCCTCCATACTGCCTTCTCTTCCCTGCTCACTGTATTGGTCGCTGTCTGCTTTATCGGAATCATTGAAACCTCCTTCTACCTTTATACAGTCCAAAAACGGAACAAAAACTTCGACATTCGTCTTCTGCTGTTGCATGATGAGACAATATGGTGGATTGTTTTCTTTTTGATTATCACTTGTAAAACCGCTGCTTCTTCATCACATCTTACACAAAAGGTTATCAAATTATCTTAAGTAAATTATACACATTAATATATCTTTAAATTAATAACTTTTGATCTTGAATTCGACTAAATAGATTTGTTGCACAATTATCGACCCACCAGTATCTTATAACAAATCTATAATTTGTTCTATTATTATTATTGTCCTTTGTTTCCGGGGTACAGTATATTATCTATCAATTAGTTATTATTTTTTTAATTTTAAAATTATCAATTAGTTATTTTTTTTTTAATTTTAAAACTGTCGATGTATGTAAAGCAGAGAGCCAGTATGTGCAAGTTATCAGAAGGCCTCAACAATGCGTGTTCAGTATTTAGGGTGTTAAGATGACTGAATGGTTGAAGGAAGGTGATAAGATGGATGGCCTCGAGTGACAGGCGGATCAGCATCTGATCACTCTCGGTCGGCGGTGTAAGAGATCAGTCTTAACACTCCGCAAGGATGGTAACTACAACCGAAGAGATCAATCTCCGGACTTATAGGAAGATGAGATACTGATGGAGGGTTCAATCTCCAGACTCAGCATATAGGACTGCAAGCGGACGGATCAGCGTCCAACTTGCATGGAGATAGAAAATAGGATAAAGGTATCAGATAGATGTTATATAAGAACAGCAGACTATTGTGGACCAAAAGAGTATATAGCAGACCCTACACGGTAATTCATGAATGAACGTCACAAGAAGTGTCAAGATTGCCCGCGATCGCTTTGATCATGAAGACCCTTACACGTTCAATCATTAGTGATCATTACTTATCGTTGCTGATACCAATTTAGCTCAGTTGTAAACAAAGAAACAGCATAGATATGCTTATTTGGACATTGTCATTTATATTATTGGGCATCAAGAGAAAAACGGAGATATAATAATTACTTCCTAGTGCCTGAAAATCGTTTAGACCGAAGTTAGAAAAAAATTATAGTTAACTAAATACAAAAATCTAGGAAAAGTATTGCGAAAATAATCAATTGGTTAAGAAAAATGGAAAAATTAATGGCAAATAAACACAACAGTTAAAGATTTTTTTTTCTATAAGTAAATTGTGAAGTTTCCAGTTTTTTTTCTCTTCAATTTATTGCCTATTTGACTATTTAAAGAAAAAATAGTTGAAAATAGTTAATAATAATATAGACTAGGGTTATAAACAACTATTTACTTAATAACGAGATCTAGGTAAACTAACCTATCTAGTAGTAGTCTCATAGAAGGTTAGTCTCATAGAAAATCGTTTTGACAAAAGTTAGTAAAATATAAGTCTACTACTTACAAAAATTAAGGAAAGGTATTGCGAAAATAATAAATTTGTTGAGGAAAATCGGAAAAGAACTGATAAATATACACAACGTTAAAGTTTTTTTTTTTAATTTGTTACTTACTTGACTATTTAAAAGAAATAGTTGAAGATGGTTTAAAATTATAAACAAGGGATATGAAAAATTATTTAACTATTTACATATAATGAAAATCAGAAATTTATAATGGTTGTGAGGCCTAGGTAACCTAACCTATCCAGCAGTATGGTTAGTCTCCCCACTACTTTTACCTCAGTCCCCCCTCCACTTCTCGTGAATGAACCTTTGATTTCCGGATGTTCAGAAATCCACAGCGCACTACCATCAGTACTTCATTCACTACCTTACACGACGATTCGGAACGCCATTAGTGCAATTCCGATTGACCGTGTAGGGTCCCCTTATGGGACATATATTGACCAGTCTACACCCTGAAGGGGTGGAGCTCCGTAGAACAGACAATTTTATTTATTTTATTTTTTTTTTTTTTCCTTAACCCCAATAATATAATACAAATTGAACAATTTATTTTAAAATTAAGTTTTGTGTTGAACGCCTTTTGCTGTAACTGTGTTACATTTTAAGGCCTTATTGAAATGGTCTTTATGTTTTATTGTAACAATAATTGTGAAATGTATCAGTAAAGGTGATGGGCTCACCCATTTTTGTGTTTATAAGGATCTTATTACTACATAATAACTAACTTACTAGCTAAGATTGAAACAAGACTGAACTTTGCCACCAAACTGGAGCCAGTGCTGGAGTTAGCGTATTCAAAAGAGGATTTGGAAGTGCTTTCAAAGAGTCCATCAATTTTACATGTCGTTTTAGAATGAATTATTCAATCCTGCGAAGTTCAAAGATTTCGTGCAGCTGATCTACGTTTAATTTTTTAATGAAGTGGACCGAGTATTTTTTCTCAATACATTGTTGTGGTATCGTTGGATGTGTTTTAGTGTGCCGTCAGTGAGATTTGTGAAGAGTGGTGCGCCGTACATCAAGGTAGGTCGTAAGATGCTTTTATATATTAGAACTTTAAGTCTAAGTGACAGTGTTGGGGAAGTTAGTAGATGTTGGAGTCTATATGTTTTCAGACAGATAATTTGAGATTTGTCTGGGGTATTTATTCCGCCAAGACCAAACCGGCTACCAAGAGTCGTTACTATAACAGTTATTTTGAGCTTTGTATATGTTATCGCCATTAAAATTTATTAATAAAAAGTGTTTACAATGAATATAAATATTTCAATTTATAATTTAAGTATTTTATATAAAAGACAAGACAACAATAAGAAATAAAAGGTACAATTTTAGTATGTTGCACGGGCGAGCTTCTAGAGCGCTGCCTGGTAGCGGGAAGGCGAACTCGTTCCTGGTAATGAGAGCGGATCTATGCCGAAAACTGTTTCCGCGATAATCTGTTGCCACGGGAATTTGATGCCGCTATAAAGCATTATATTCTTTTTAATTAATAACAATATTAATTTTATTTTTATTTATATTAATGTGTCTTCCATTGGTTGAATTTTTTTTTTCAATGGGATTCGATTACAATAGCATTTACCATTTAAGTATTTATTTATTAAGCAAAAATACATTTTGCCTCAATTAAGGGCATTAGTATTTGAGATGTAATAGACTCATTCGTAATATATATACAACAAAAAATAAATAACAAAAATATAACAAAATGTTGTTACCACTGTTTGATAAACAAGTGATTACTCACTGCATTTAATATTAGATCTTTATTATTGTAGTTTATCATTTTAAAAATACACTTTCTATTTTTTTTTTAATTATAAACATACATCCTGATTGGACTAACTATATATCTCTGAGAATTTGAGGCTTTTGTCGTCATCAAATCTTTAAAGCAAAGTTTAGAAAGTTTTGTTTATTTAGGTTTTGTTAATGAAGAATAGAAGCTAATAAGACAACATACATAATATATGTAATAAACCTTTGCGTATTGAACATTATTGAATGGAAGCTGTCCTCTTAATGTATTAAAGTCTTACGACTTTTGGTCGCTGTAAGCTATTTCGGAATCACTGCAATTAAATTCTAAATTTGTGTAGTATAAACACGCTAACAATATCTTGGCACTTGTCTTCATTAACTACTTTTCTTTTTGAGCGTCATCTCGAAAATCGCTGCATTTTCATCGAAAAAGCCCAAAAGGTTGTCAAATTTTCTAAACTATTTATACAATTAATATAGATAAACACAACAGTCACTGTTTGTTTCATAAACGGTTAAAGAGGCAAATGGGATCACTTTTCCAATTTGAGCCTCGACCATAACGGAGCACCGACACACGCACAATCAATGTACAAATATACATAACTGAACTTTGTGGTCAGGCACATCCACATATATCACATCCACAAACAGTAACCTTCCATAGATTTTTATATATACTTTTTCCCACTCTGATAGGAAATTTCCTAGAAGACTCGTACCTTAGAACTACATTAGAACTTACAACTGTAAAGTCCTAACTTTTAACTTAAAATGTCCTCAATTTCATATTTTATATCACTATAAATATTTGTAGAATTTATCAATTTCTATGTAGTTGACCAAATCAAACTTTGCCGAAGTGGTCAATTAGCCCAAATGACCAATGGTTTGGGTGTGTGTATATTTATTGAACAGCCTAGCTTAAAAAAGAAAAGTCGTTCGAAACTGAATTTGTGTATTTAAGGTTTGTATATGGCTCGGGTATGGCGTTTAGATGTGGCGACCCTATCGCCCAGTCAGCTGACTGCAATCAGCCACTGGCCCTCCAGGTTGGGGGAAACTCAGTGCCGGAGGGTATAGCGTGGCCACCCTTCCTCCTGAGGAGACATAAATATTTAGGAGACCATTTGTCCCGAGGATACGGGACCTCTCCTATAGGACCACCCGTAGTAGAGCTCAACTGACTCAGAGTATATCAAATAGCCTCGGATTCGGACGGTCTCAACGGTTACGACGCGGCGCTCAAAAGGATATTAGACTTGGAACATGGAATATCAAGACTGACTGGCAAAGAGGTTGAACTGATGGAGACATTCAGGGTAGACCTTCCAGGAATTTGCTAAGTGGGAAAAAAGGAGCACGGTGAAGTATGCCTAAACAAGGACCATGTGCTTATCCACTCAGGAGTACCAGTTGGGTTCAGAGCCAAGGAAGGTGTTGTCATCATCATGAAGAAAGCTTATTCTCTAAAATAGAAGATTGGCAGCCCATATCTTCAAGAATAATAACAGTGTATCTGGATCTGTCAACAGGAAAGGTTGCACTAATACAAGTTTATGCCCCAACAGGGGATGCCAATGTTATCGACAAAGAACAGTTCTTTGCTGATCTAGAGAGAGAAGTTATAAGCGGTCAGAACAGAGGGATTATCCTAATGATTTCAACACAAGGAACGGAAGAGACCAATCAAATGCCCATGATGTTATTGGCTTGCATGGTGGAGAACGCACCGAAAATGGAAATGGTCAAAGACTCATCGACTTCTGTAACGACTACGACCTCCTCATTGGAAACTGTTTCTTCCCATATAAGATGGTGCACAAAATAGCCTTTTCAGCTGAAGAAAGAAGCGTTAATAGTGTTATAGATTACATTGTGCATAGTAGAAGTACCAAGAGATACTTTACCGATGTAAAAGTAATAAGAGGTGCTGAAATTGGTTCGGACCATCTTCTGTTGATAGGAGACA